GGGATCCTTGGGGAACCACCCGGCATTTCGGCAGACAGGCAGTGAGCACAGAACAGGAATGTGGATGCAGCCTGTCACCTTACTAGTATGGTTTAAGCCTGTTTTAAAGGGTGTCAGTGCACATTGCCCATCACCCAGCCCTTCTTCGTTTATTCTTCTGAGACATCAGAACACCATAGAGAAGCTTGCACAAAATCTGTACGGATGGAAGCAGGCTTTGTGCCCAGGCAGACTGCTGTATGCCATATAGCATTTCCAGAGGAATAAATGACTGAACCAATCCAACGGATTCTGGTGCCTGACTTTTAGGGAAAATATTCAGGCACATTCTACTCACAATATAAAAAACATTTCCTCCATACTGTGAGAGTAGCTAAATAAGCCACATCAACCCTTCCTAATCAGAGAGATGTGGTGTTATTTTTAAACCTGCCAAAAAATGTTAAGCCAAATGGTGTGGGACATTACAGTTATGGGGCCTCAAAAGAGTTATTTGTCTCTGTTTATTTTATTAAATATTCCTAGACATACCCTTAGGATGACAGATCAATAAGTGCCTTTGCGGTTTCCTGATAGAAGGCAGCAATTATTTGCTTCCATTACAATATAAGCATAACCTAATTTTACTCATCTATCATGTGTGTAATGGTAATAAAGAAGTATCACCATGTGTTTATTTTACTGTCACTTTATCTTTTGTTTTGGTGATCTTCTGTTTTCATTTCACATTCTTCCAACTGTTTGTGCCTTTCATTCAACAGGAGTTATGACCAGTTTGTCTTGCTTTAGGACACTTCTTGGGAATACAGTGGCAAAAGCCTGTCTATGGTTTCTCTTTTCCTGTAAGGTGAATGGAGTACTTTAGGTTTTCACCTGAACTTACCTGTAGAAGAAACAAAGCCACAGGATCTTTACAGAGCTGAATTTGGATTTCATTTTCAGAGGTGCTTTTCCATGGAAGTCAATAGTGACTGAAATTAGGTATCAGAGGTCAATTTGGCTCACAATTGTTTAGCACATAAGAGGCACAGAAAGCCTAAAAAAAGCCCATAAGATCAGGATCTAAATAATGACAATTGAAATGTATAGTTCAGATTGCCAAGGCTAAACTCAACCCGTCTTCCTCACTTGGAGAATCACAAGTTATCCACGATAGAGGTGCACACTATTTCACTGTCTGCAAATGAAGTAAGCAGCATTTGTGTCCTCATGTAAGTACTCTGCTTTGAGAAGTACCACACCAGGGCTGATAGTGACTAATTGTGACCAAATAAACTCTGCTAAAAGCCTACATCCAGTTTTCTCCTCATTGTGGGTGAGGAGATTCCTGAACAGTGATTCAAAACCCTCCACAGCAGCTACCTCTCAGATATCTTCATCCTGACTCGGGCAATAAAACCCCTTTACTATGACTTCAAATTTTTCTTTTAATTCAAAGCCAGTTCTGTTTCCTCCTTGCTGTCATTGAAGTGACAGCCAGCTCTTCACTGAAGGAAATTATTAGGAAGTGCTAACGGGTCACAGCTCCGCTGAGGTACATCTGATATCAATCAGATGCGCCGTGGGATTAACTTTTCGCAACCCTGACTTCAGTGAGCCCAGGCTTTGGCTTAATATGTATTTCAATTAAACACAACTGGAAATGTTTTATCTTTGTTTTATAAAGTTTTCCATGAGCACTGGAATAAGTGAAGGACAGTTGTGTCTGGATTTATATTTTGTGGTTGGTTGACTTTGCTGTCCAACCAAGCTCTGACGGAGACTTTTCCCATGGGTGAGCAATACCTGCTTTGGTCCCTTCTGATGTTTATAAAGGGGCTCCTTAAGCTTCATTGGTTTCCATAGCCTGAGCATATATTGGATCTCTCTCTGGATTCACATCTTTAAAATTTCTTATTGTTCAGGTTGTCAGGACAGCTAACATAAAGACAGGCATACAATAGCATGACCACATAAACTTCATTCCTTTAGGAAACAAGGCTAGAAACGAACAAATTTTGTCAACCACACCAAGATGAGTTGAAGCATTTTTTTTTTAAATGCTTAAAATCTAAGAAGAATGAGTTGAGGAAGTGTTTTGGATGTTTTATTCTGGTTTATTTTGGTCTAATTCTACTTTTAGCAGCCTCAGACTAAACAGTCCTGAGGGACAGCCACTTAAAAAGATGGACTACCCAAAGTCCAACAAAATTATGTACAATTGTCTTGTGGGACTTTTTTGGATAACATGAAATGGCCTTCATCAATCAGACTCTAACTGTAAATTATCAGATAGCACTTCCTTGCAAACATTGCTAAAGGCTCATTTTTCTTTTTAACACTGAAGTTAGTGGTATACCATATTCACTGCTGTACTGTTTTCACTGTCCTATGACTTAATCTCACAGTGGTCAGTGCCTTTCACTTGCATCAGTGGTCTGTGGCTTCATTCTCTCAACATCAAAGAGAAAGATCATCTTGGCTACATTACAAAAAGCAAGTTTTGAAATTTGCCAAAATAAACCGTGACAAACTCTCACAGTTTATAAAAGCTTTCTTTTAAGTTGAAGGTGACTTACAAAAGGGGAAAAATAGGTTATGCCCTCATGTATGCTTTTATAATGTACAAAAAAGGGCCTAAGAGGAGTTGAGGGGTTTGGGACTCTTTAAAATTATTATCTCCAGCAAAATCAAGGAAGACCAGACTTGACATTCCTGTCACAAGCATAAGAAATAATGTGCTTTCCTTCTTCTGCCTGCTCCTTCCTTTCCTTCACCTTCCAACCCTGCAAGTCTATTTTACGCACCTGAGAAAAACAGGTGTATAAAGGATGCTTGGCAAACTCTTGCCAATCTTTTTGACCAATTGAAACCCGAAAAAACTCACAGGACACTTTTCATTGGAGCCTTAATGAGTCCTCTGGAATAAAGCAAAGGAAATGGAATGGCAAAGCTTGACAGTCTTGATATTTCAGTATTAAGCAAACAATCAGGACAAAAACTTCTGACTGCCTTTATGCCATTTAAAGGAACCACAAGAAATCACAGAAACATTTTTATCAATTTAATGTACCAGAAATCAGAGTTCTGATGACATTTCTTGAAAATGGGCAACTACAATAAACCGTCTGCAGTATAAGACATTCAGTTCTGATATGCAAAGCAGCAGCAGACTCTGGAAAAGCTTTTGAAGCAGGAAAGTACTTCCCAGCATGTGAAAAGTGGCAAATTATTCTGTCAATATTTTAATGGTATACTTTGCCATGAAAAGATCACCTTATGAAACAGGTGTATAGGCAAGTACAGAATGAGATAAGTTAAAGGCCACAAGCTTTAAAGACAGTCACTCACAAATAAAATACCCCAGGAATAAGGAAAAAAAGTACTTTCAGAGAACAATGTTCATTGTTAAAAATGAACTGAAAATGAAAAAAAAAAAAAAAAAAAAAAAAAGATGTTAAGACCTGAAATGAAAAATTAGGACAGCAATAACACCGTGAAGAAAGATAAGAAGTTACTCTGCTGAACGTTTGGTAACTTGCTTGTAGTTCCTGAACATTGCCTTTCCCCCCCAAAAAAAACTGGAATAAAATGCTACATCGTTTGTGGCTGCTGTATCAGCATCTGCTGGCAATGCCTACATCTGTGTTGAACACCTGGAGCCTGCGATAAGCAGGTGTCCTGCGAATGCCAAGGCTGTTGTGGTGATGCTCAGACTGGGTTGCACCCACCTCTGAGTGCATTCCCGCTACTGGGGAGAAGCCACACCAGCTCTATAACGGATGCTTCTCCCCAGGCCACCCTGCCTCACCCCTGGCAGTGTCAAGCAGCCCTTCTCTTTCATGCAAGAGGCTCCCACCTTCAACCAGGGCATGTGACAGCACCCTGTCCTGATGCCCTGTGCTGGGCAGCCATGCTGAGGAGGGCTCTGGTGGTACTGGGATTCCTGCCCTTACCCTGAGCCATTCCAACAATGGCACATGATAGATTCCATCCATCTCCAAATGCAGGTTGAGGTGTCGCTCTGTCCTTACACAGGGCTCACCTTGTCTTGTGAGGCTGAGCAGAGCCCCATCATAATAGCTCTGGCCCTGCCTTCTGGTAGAGGACAGTGTGCCACCTCTGAGCTCCAGTTTTCATGTATTTGAGAAAAGAAAGCTCCCCTGAAAGGACGTTTAAGGCCCTGCTGCATAGGCAGGTACAATTCAAAGCTCCTAATGTTTCATGTTTCAAAATAAATATTAAAAGTACCCGATTACCAGATTCTGTATTTCCTTTACAAGAGCTGACACCGGGACAGAGGCTGGCCAGAAGGGAAGAAATTTTTTGTGCTTCCTTCACTCACAATATTTCAGATAGTTAGAGAGCAGCAACCATCTGAACACACGGTGTACTGAAAGGCAACCCTCCCATCTGAGACTACTGGTGTCCTCATTCAGACATACTTTTCATAGGCACTTCTTTCATTAAGAAAAATGATTTCAGTGGGACTGTTTCTGTATCAAGCATGACTAACTGTATTACAATCTGGCTCTTCATGGCATGTTCCAAACCAGCTCTTTCATTTTGTTTCTAAGGAGGGCAGTGATTCAGCATTAACATAGTTTAAAATATGAGTGATATTTTCAGGGACTCCTCAGTGCACATGGATAGAAATGTTAATGAATACTTTTTTGAAATATTAGAAGAAATAACTGCCTAAATGTTGCATTTATCTGCATCACAGTCTCTCAAGAAAACCAATTACTTACAAATTAAAAAAAAAAAAAAAAAAAAGGGATTTTTTTCTCCCCAGTTCCACTGGTTCTACAGTTTTTCAGCACTGTAAGGACCTCGGTGATTTTCATATTGAATTTACAGGAACTAATCCTTAAAGACATGAACCATCAGCCATGATAAGTAATCTGAAATGATCAGGGACTTACATCTTGTAACTGAAACTGAGGGGAGGGCTACCTGGTGATAGAGTAGGCAAAGAAAGAATGAGAGACCCAAAATGTAACAAATTAATTGTCGCTTACCCTGTTCAAGCAGTATTTGCTCTCTTTGCCATAAAAGTGCTGGAGACATTTCATGTTCTGCTTGTCAACAATCTTATTGAAGAACTCATTGATGGTTCGCACGGAGACGGCACAGACAGCAGATCTGTTGGTTGGTTCAGAAGAGTCTGGTTTGCTTTGTGCAAAAACACCGTAGAGAATATCATCGTTCAACCCAAGGCCCATTTCGTGGGCTAGAGCTGCACCTGGCTTGCTTACGTAGGCAGCTTGCAAAATGTTGAATACCTCCTTTCGGATGGACCTCTTTCTCCGCTTTTCAGTAAAAATACATTCAAGAGGCATTTCCATGTAAGAACGCATCTCTGAGTCTAAAGTGCAGAAACGGATAATTCGAGTATGAAAAGCTTGAGAGTCGAGAGATTCTCTCTGCACAGTCAGAAAATAGACAAAGTGATCATTTTCGAAGGCATGGACATACCTAATGGGATATGAGTCACGGAACTGAGGCAGGATATCTATATAAGACTGATCTGTGAGAAATTCAAAACCATCCTGGGTTTCTTTTAACCTTCTAACCGATATTGAATGCAGCACATGGGGAGGTTGAAATGTAGATGTCACAGTATTTCCAACAAAGAAGTTGACAAACCTGTCTTTTTCGGTCACCAAAACTTTGGTTCCTAAAGTACTTACAACACAGTCAGGACAATTATCTGCTTCTCCGTCCACCCGGGGTGAATACATGCAGTGCACCTCGCTTTCAATATCAGCAGGGTTGTCAGGGTGAAGGATGTGACGGTGGCAGATGCCTCCGGACACACTACCACAGCTGATGAGCTGATCATCATAGTAAGTTTCTAAGAGCAGTGCCATGTTGACATTATCCTTCCATACACTGTTAGATAAATTGGCTTTATCTTTGCAGTCTTCGCATGGCGCACAGTCAGGGTTCTCCAGAATGGGCCCAGTCTTGTACACAGAAATGTTCTGCAGAGTTTCATTTAGCACATAAATCTTATTGACTGCTCCAATATAAACGTGATGCTTGTATAAAACTACATTCTGAATCGGTGTTTCTGCGATGAAGTTAGGAAGATCATATTTTACACTCAAATTCATCTCTGATTTTTTAGCTGCTTCTTTGCATTGCCCATGGCTCCTCTGCAGCAAGGCAAACAGGAATATGATAAACCCAGAAGGATATGCAGTAAAAGGCTTCATTGTCAGAGATTTAATCTGTCAAAATATATTTAAGGAAAGGGTGGTTATATTTCATACACTAAAACATCAGTTTATCAGTCAAAAGAAATACGTTTCTAGGCTGCATGTATTAACTGAACTATTTCAGTTTAAGAAAGTGTCATGATCTTGCTTAGTGTCATTAATAATCTTGTGCTAGAAACTGCTATGATTACTGTTCTTCATGGTTACCCACTTCACTGCTTTTAGAAGAGAAGGATTTTCTTCTGATGAATTTTGCAAGACCCCTCAGTGTGTTGTACAGCAGCGGAACAGAGATGACTGCTTTCACATTGGCATTAAACCAGCTGACTGATACAGTTTAGAGCAAGATGGTGCACAGGTAGCTGAAAGCAAATCTCAAGACACTCAGGACACAACTGCACACAAAGCAGTTGTAATACTTCAGTTTGTGGATATAAGGTATTTGGCAAGTTCCTCATGAGGCTGAGCTGGTTCTTGGCACAGCTGCTCAAAAATGAGAAATAGAAAAGACATGAAATAATGTGAAGAGATGAGCTGGAAGTGGGCTTCTCTTTTATTCCGTTGACATTTTTGAACAACCAAGGAAGAGAATTTTCTCCACCAGACCAAAGGAAGAAAACCCTCTCCCTCCAGCTCCCCAAATCACTGTCTTTCATAAGGGTCTGGTTTGGAAAAAAGATTGGTTTTTTTCAGCCAGCTCTGCTTCTTGGAATAGTCATTTCCCTAGCGTTGACAAGGTTTTGTAATATACTGTTAGAATATTTTACGCATCATGTGGTGCCTGGCATGTGCAAGTTTTATTTTAGGCCTTGTACCACAGCAGTAAGTCACTCTGGTGAACCTTTACAAGATACAGGCATATCACTGTATTGTAAACAAAGGGATATCAAGTGACCTACAGCCATTAACTGATGAAATCAAACAACCTAGCACTTTTCTTTTTTTTTCACTTCTCCACACAATTGTTTGATGTGGCTTGAAAAACCAAAGGCAGATGACTAGTGTGATATTTCACCCCCTCAGAAGATCAATTAAATGAACTGTGGTTATGAGCGTTTCGGTGCAGTGTCCACACTATGCCCTGTCACACTAGACATTTTCTGTTAAAGTCATGACACAGTTGTTAAGTCAAATTTAGCTTCTTCATGGAGAAAACAATTATGCATTCTAACAGCAATATGATCACATACTTCGGGAAAATACTTGTAGTTTGGCTATAGATAAGCAATTGTTGCTAATCAAGAAATGCTTATGAACACTGAAAGAATTTAAAATAGACAACCTTGAAAATGACAAACTAATAATAGGAATCTGTACTGACTTTTTATTTCATTAAGACTTTAAGCAAAATTAAAAGATGACTATAGACCAGAGCTGTTTCAACTGTGTATAAATTCAGTGTTTTCACTAGATTTATGAAAACAATCCATCAACGATTCTCCTGCATTCCTTGTGACATCCTATTTCAGTGCCCACTGAACTCTTTCTGTGGCTTACCTCATTAATTACACAAAATAATAGGCTTTGGAAATATAGAATTGTTCTTCCTCCCTGTTATCTGATAAGAAATATGACCAAGAGCTGAGGATAAAAATCAGAAACACAGGCTATTTGCAAGTATTAGCTGGTACGAACAAGTCACACTTGTGGTATTGAGAATTTAAGATCTTCCTTCAAATCAACAACATTTTCTGATATTAATTAGTGATAACAGAATCCTGGAAACAAATCAAACATGAACTTAAGTTTAAAAGAAAAAGAAAAGAAATGAACAAAAAGCAGGGATATTTTTATAATTAGAAAATAGCCCCAGTACGCCGTGCTGACTTCTATATTGCATAGGGCAGGAAACAGTTTTCCCATCATCTGAAACTCATTGCTATTACAGAATTTTTCCTGCTCTGTGCTGGGATGAAACCAAGAGCTTTCAAAGTTTGTGTGAAACACCCAGAAGTCACACCTGAGCCAAGAACAACCATGTTCACATCCCTGCCTTGCCAGCGTCAAGCAAACGTTCTCGCAATGGGAGGAGTGGGAGCCTGGTCTGACTGCCTTCTTTCAGCCAGCGCTTCCACCCAAGAAACTGCTAAAACTGATTCATTCCTGCACATTCACTTCTGACAAGTCAACATGTTCTGACAAATACTAGATTAAGCACAAAATTCCCAAAGTGCTCTATTTCTGACACAACATGGAGACAGGTATATTGTTTACTGCAATGCATTTAAACTCACGTAACAGAGATGGCACTGCAGCAAGGAGAGAAAACAATAGGTAGGACAACAATTAGATCAGGATGAGGCTGATGGACCACCAACACAGGAAAAAAGATGCAAGGTTACTTGACAGGCACCTACTTTGCTGCAGTATATTCCGTGCTATGTTCTTGTTTTAATATGTTTCCAAATAGATTTCCCACCCAGCATGCCCCTCAGTCTCCAGTTTACAATCTTCCCCGTTCTTCCAGCATCCAAAAAAGAGGATCCCTAGCTGTCCAACAGTAAATACCAGTGTGCACTGCAGAGGGTTTAGAGCCATAAATACTGCCTGCT